TAGAACTCACTCCCTTGCCCTTGTCAACCAGTGGGTTGTAATGAGGGTCTTCATTGTCAGTCTCAGTGCTATAATCTGGAATCAGGTCATTAATGGGAATGGGGCTATCTGGCCTTGAATCTTCCCACTCATAAGAGTTTAAAGGGTCAGCTTCTATGTTTGAGGCTGCTAAAGTGGAAGAGAAAGTGGGAAGAGGTGTTGCAGTTTGTGAGCTGGGGTTTATAACATATTTAACTCTAAAAAAACTTTGGTTGGATAAGGTAGTGGTGGGTTGAGTGGAAACATATTCAGTGGGAGCATCTTTTTTAAAAGTATCAGTGAGGGCATCTTTTTTGGCTCATCTTTTTTTGGCTTTAGTGAGCTGTCATGGGTTTTTTGGGAAGGTTCAACAATATCCAAAGGCTGACTTTTCTTTCTTGGACTAGATCTAACCTATGGTCCCCTTTGAATTGGAAGTATTTTAGGTCTCACTGTTTTGGGCTGGTTTTTTTTTTTTTTTTTTTTTTTTTTTTTTTTTTTTTTTTTTTTTTGCAGAAGCTTGTATCTCTGAGGGGAAAGCTATTGGGTCATTGTCATCATGCATGGCATATACCTCCACCCCCCTGTACTTCTCTGACACTTGTATCATATCCCTCATACTTTCATCATCTGTCACCTTCCTCAAACCATCCACCAAACTCAACCCAGGAACCAAGTATAAAAACCCCTTTATTCTTCCATCATATCTAGCACGCTTCATAACCAACTCAATCAAGTAAAAAGAACACAGTTCATCAGGGTCTACATTAAAGGTTTTCCCCATCCCATTCCTATAACACAACCCACCATTGTTAACTGTCTCAAACACCCCTCCATGCCACATTTTCAAGGAAATTTTACCCATACCTAAATTAACAACAACTAAATTACAATCAACATAAAACAACCAAAATTACTCAATGAAAACAGAATAAAACATCAATTAACATATTAACATAAAACAAAAAATAAAGCACAAATTTTTACTAGATAAATACGACAATTCACAACCAAACTGAACAAATACATAGTAATTACACAAACAAAATAATCTAATTCCAGTTGAATTGATTTAGGGTTCGAAATTCGCATCCAATTACAGAAGGATTAATGGGGAAATTTAGGGTTAGCAACTTACCTAAAATGGCGCAAATTAGGGTTTAGCTGTTTAAATTCCCCCAAAAATGGAAGCTTGGGACTTTACTGCAACGTAAGAAGGTGGTTGAAGCTTCAATTATGGCTATCGATCTACTTTCTAAGCTATATTCAATTGCTCTGCTGAAGAAGTTATGAGGGAGGGAGAAAGTTCAGATATTACAGAGGGTGGTTGGGAGGGAGAGATGACATGTCTAGTTTAAGAGAGGGAAAATTAAATCCCCTAGTCCACGTCACAAGTCTTTACCTTCTTAACCGGTTTCATGTAAACTGGGACCAATAAAAAAGATCGGGGGGTAAAGGTGGGATTATTAAAAAATAATCCAAAGGTGGGATTATTTTCAGCGGACGGGCAAAAGGTCGGATTATTGCGGGTAATTTTTCCTATTTTAAACACATAATGTAAAACAGTAATTGTCCACAACTAAAGTAATTGTTGTTTCACCCAAACACTGCCAAGTTTTATCTACACTTGTGATAATATTTTTTTCTTTTTTTTTGAATAGCACACTTGTGATAATTACGTACACATGTGATAAATGGATATTGTCATTCCTAAACACAAGCTAAAAAAAAGTTAACTTGGCTGCCCTTGTATAAAAAAATTATAATAAATTAAAGTGAAATTTATTGGTGGTTTTATAATTTTAAAAAAATATTTTTTTTTGGTAAATATTATTAAGGTTTTTTTAGAAAATAACACTATATATTTTGCAAAAAATGGGTTATAACACCAACAAAAAAAACTTTGATTATAACACCACAAAAAATGGATTTCACCACCAACTAACGATTTTTTGGATGAAAATTGTTAGTAGGGCCCTCAAATGACACATGTCAATACTCTATTGGTTTAAAATAAATAAAAAAAACAAAAAAAACCGTTAAACTCTAACCCAACCAAGCCCTGCCAGCGGCACCACCTATCCTAGCCGCCGATAACACAAACCCAGCCGCCGACACCCCCAGCCCCCACAAAAACCGGCGAATCAACCCCTTCCTTCTCCCCGAAAACCAACCCAGCCCCCACAACCACCTCTCGCACCGCATCAACCTACCAAAGCAAAGCATCCCCCACAACTACCTCGCGCACTGTATCAACCCACACTACCACCTCGCTCACTGCACCGACCCACGTAACCACCTTGCGCACCGGACCGCACCTCCCTAGCAACCACGCACACTCAAGAAAGCAATCTGGGTTCAATTATCAATAATTATAATTTTAGGGTTTGTCGATTTTGATTATTTAGGGGTGGAGGTGGCTGATGTGGTGGTTTTCGAGGAGTGGAAAAGAGGTAGGATCGGTTTTTTGAATTAGGAGAAAGGGAGGGGTAGCTGGGGTGGTTCTACCGGTGACGCATGGGGTCTCGGCGGCGGTGGAGGAAGTTCGGTTGCCGGGGGTGGAGGATAGGGTTGCCGGCAGTACGGTGGAGGAATATGGCTGGGTTAGGGTATAAGTTTTTTTTAATTTTTTTTACCAATATAGCATTGCCACGTGTCGAAAGTGAGCCCCACTAATGGATTCCATCCAAGAATTCGTTAAGTGGTGGTGAAATCAAAGTTTTGTGTTTTTATGTGGTGTTATAATTAAAAATTAGAGATTTTGTGGTGTTACAATCTAAGTTTTGAGAAATTATTTGTGGTGTTATTTTCTAAATTTTCCTATTATTAAACATTATCAAAATTCAATAAGAAATATGCAGTAACCTAACTTTTGTACTTCATATTAGTTTGTTTTATTTGTTAAAGGAATTTTTATATATCATTAAAAATTTCTTCAAGGTAAACACATGTGTTGTTTTGAAATTGCTATTTATTTTTGTGTTACATATTTTAAATACATAAAACGTATATGAATTATGGATGGGTAAATGAAAGAATGAGATTATATTGAAGTATATATATAAGTTAAATTAAAAATTTAGAATTTATGAACATAAAATTTTTGTGAGGAAACATTGATGATCGCTTTTAATATAACATGACCCCACATTATTTATCAAGTCATGACAACACATGGCAAGAATAACGACATGTGGCATTAATACAATTCTTGCCATGAGTTTTAATATATATATATAGATATAGATTGCTAAACCAGACATGTTATATATCGGGTAACACCCATATTTCTGTAAGACTTTATGGACATTCCCTTTACGTAAAATTTACCCATTTCATTGTTTATTTTAATATTCAGTCTCTGTTTTAGTTACCCCACCACCCACCGGTCTATTTGCCACCACGTTACCATTAAAAATTAGTGAGTATCAGGGTTTTACTTTTGTAGTTGTGCAACTGCTAACTTTTAAGGACATTTAATAGTTTGCATGTAGCATGTGTCTTGTGATACAATATTATTTTGTGTGCAAGGTTAGAGCATAACTAGCATAGCACCTGTGCGATGCACGGGTTACAAATCTTATTAGTTATTACTTATATTCATTTATTCACAAAATTTTAAGATAAAACGATTAATGAGTAATAATGAATTACTTACATAGATGTCTTAATCATGCATTTTTAACCTCTTAAAGTAATGATATTTACTTTAAAGACAATTTTTTTATTCTTAAATTGAATGTAAAGTTTTTAAATATAATTCAATTCAATCAATGAACTACTGATAATCAATCCCTACATTAAGTCATTTTTATTTTCTCATTCCTACTTGAGTCATTGGCCACCTCATTTTAAAAATGATTAAACTTTGTCCACTAACTCAATATATACAATGTTTTTTCTGTGTGACTGGCACGACTAACACACGCAAAAACACATTTTTTCTGTGTGACTGGCACGACTAACACACGCCAGAACACGAGTAACCCCTGACCGAGTAACCCCAAACTGACTGAGTGACCCTTAACCGATCGAATTACTAACCCTTGACTAATAACCTTTTACCGACTGAGTAATCCCTAACCAAATAATCTCGGCCACATGGTGTAGCCAACCAGATATGAAACTTTATGAACTCAATATATGCTTGGAAAAATAATTTCTATTATAAAACAACATGATCATTGTATTAATATTGTATTTTGTACATCACAAATAATGTCATATCTTTTTTCTCTATTGCCTCTAAAACACTTGAAATTTAACATGTAACTTTTTAAGATAGGAATTTGTATATTCCCATATAGCATGAATATAGTCACACTCTTTATAGACATTTCATATGTTTATCACAGTTTTTTGTATGCGGTCTGTTGTACCGTGCGACAAGGATTACTTGGTCAGGGGTTACTTGAAATGTCGGGGTTACTCAAGTTACTCGGTTAGGGGTTACTCGAGTTACTCCTTAAGTAATCCCTACTCCTCAAGTAACCCCTGACCGAGTAACACTTCAAGTAATCCATGACCGAATCCCTTAAGTAACTCCTGACTGAGTAACCCCTCAAGTTACCCCTAACTCCTTAAATAACCCTTAACCAAATTACTCGAGTATGTAACCCCTGACCGAACACCTTAAATAATCTTGACCTAGTAACTCGAGTAACCCCTGACCGAGTAACTCATGACCGAGTAACCCTTCAAGTAACCCCTCGAGTAACACTTGACCGAATAACCCCTAAATTAACCCTAGAACTAAGTGAACCCCTCGAGTAACCCCTATCCGAACCCCTCAAGTAACCCCTGACCGAGTAATTCTAGTAACCCCTGATTGAATAACTCAGGCAACCTCTAACAAAATAACTCGGGTAACCCTGCCACACGGTATGGCCTGCTGCACCAAAAAGTTGTTATAGTTTTTATTATGTATGCAAAAAAAAGTTCTCATATTTTTCTTTGGCAGGGTTACCCGAGTTATTTTGTTAGAGCTTTTTATTAATCCCAATTTCTTCAATTGCTTTACATAATTACTTAATCATCTTCTTTTAAGAATTGTTTCCAATTTTTCTTCTATTTCCACTTAATAGCTTCACCAATTAACCCTAAGTTGTTCAATTTTTTGCAGTGAATTTTGAACAGCCACGGCACAGCGATGAAGATTGGCCAACTTCTTGTTTCCGTCGCCCTTAATTTTATGTTGCTGGTTGGAATACTCTTTCTCTACACTCAGTTCTATGTTGCCTCCATCTACACTTCCAACCCACCGCCGTCCACCCACGGTATGTTGAGAAATTATCCAATTTACAAAGTGTGTGTCATTCTAGATTATGGTTTTATTTTTCTAGTTTTTGTTAGTTTTGTTTGGACAATTAAAGTTGCTTTATTTGAAAATATTTATTTGTGGCTGGCGATTATTATTAATTTGTTCCTATTCAAAATTTGACAATTTGGGGATTTTGGGAAACTAATGATAAAACAAAAAAGAAAAATAGAGTGGGTTCATCCTATTTAGTTCTTTGGCAATTATAATTTAATGGGTTTCTATTGAATTTTGATAATATGAGTTTAATTAGTGCTTAGAAGAAGATAATTGAACTACTAAAACTTAGTTTGGTCTTTTACCCTCTGACTAGTTTTGTGCTTGTCGTTTGATGATGGAGTTAGGGCCTTTAGAGTAGTTGCAATCATCTAAATACCAAGGATTATTCCATTGTTTAATGCTTGATTTGAGTATTCCATTGTTTCATGCTTGATTTGTTTAATTTGTTTAAAGGTATATGAGTATTGTTGATGTTTTAATTGGATCTTGTGTTATGGTTAGATATACATATGCATCACAAATGCATTTTGGATTTTGTCATTTAGAGATCATATTTTGATATATTTTGTGTACAAGGTACACCACGAGGGTCCTTTGCTGCCATCACCGTTAACGCAGATGTTAAATTGGCATTGACATGAACTCGACTCATATCTCGTTTTTGTGGTATTAAAACTTGACTGCAATTGACTCTTTCTTTGTTTAGACTTGGTGCTTGGATTCCTTAATTTGAAAATTTATTTGGATATAATAATATGATAACTGAACTTTCTAACTTGTCACTCACCTCAAGAAAGAATAAAGTATCTACAGTGTGACATGCTATGCACCAATACAAGAGATGATAATGTTGCACCAAGCACTTTAAAAATTAGGAAAACATGCCTCTATAAGCTAGATAAATAGGAGCATCAACACGACAACACCTTGATTGAATAAAGATTTAATTTCACAACACTTGAAACCATATCTAAACGAAAATATCTATCCTTTTTTTAATTATTTTTTTTGGAATGAAATAAAACTTTATATATAAGGGTAATATTTTGTACTTGTGGTTGAATATTAACAATCTTTGTATGAATTTTGGTTGATAATGGAGGTTTGATATTTAATGAATCCATAGTTCCATATGAAATTTATTGTAGGTAAAGGTTAGACATCTCATCATTTGCATTATCTTAGCTTGTTTATACAGAATATGTATCTGCATGCATGTCAACTCTGTAAGCTGTCCATAGATTTTTTGTATAATAAATCAACTGGTCCGACAAAAAACTCATGCCCTTGAACGATCATAGAGCAATTTTCCTACAAAATTAAGAAAAAGGTTATAATGCTTAGAACTATTAGTAGAAAATACTTGAATTTCTGAATAAGTAATCTCTAGCTTGTAATGATTATAGATACCTAATGCCAAAATCTTAAGATTTATGACCCACTAACCTCTTGAATTTTTTTCCTATGTCTCTTAATAACTTTAACATTTAGGCTTTGGCTAGCATTCAGGAAGTAACATACCTCACATTCACAAAGTCTGCACTAGTGCTCTTCAGCAAGTATTCCTCTACAATGTATTATGTCATCTCATTTTGTAATTGTTTTAATTAGTTCTCAGATCTTAAGTCTGTTACATAACAAGAAATTGATAAAGATTAGAGATCGTGCAGTGGTTCACAAGTTTAGACAGTGAGGGTCGCATTTATGAGTTGTAGTATATCAGGTAACATTCTGGCCTTGTTCATCTGTTGAGACTTGTATGTACCAATTTCTTGGTTAAGCTCCGTGAAACTATACATGAACTTACTGATGGGATGAAGGATCTTGGGCTGGAAATTAATTAGAATCATTCCACTTTTTTATACTCCCAGGTGTGACAGTGCTGACGAAATAGCAAGGGGTTGTGATCTTGGTATTATAGCATCAAAATGCTAGCAGGTTAGCCGTATTCAGAGTACATTTAATTGCGTTCATCTGTACAAATAATTTAATATATAGAGGTAATATAGGCAGAGTTTTAGATTTTATTCTGAACGTGATAATTTTCTAATATGACATGTGAGTAATACTAAACTCTGCAAAATCTTATAAAGTAAGGAAACAAATTTGTGGAAATTAGAGTAGTATCAACAATGAAGGAAGCTCATATGAAGAAGTTGGTTGACATAACTATTGAGAGTGAGCTGACATAAGTATTGTGATAGTTTTTTACCTTTTCGTTCACCTATTTGTCACTTGTTCTAATCAAATAGAATCCAATTCTTCAAAGTGTACGAGAGTACAACTTATAAATATCCATGAAAAAATTGGGAGTATTATAATATTCTCATTCTTACTAGCATTATCATTGTTGATACTCAATATGCATTCATGTGCTCCATTTTTGTATGGTTTGTGTTCCCTTCAAAATTTGATGCTTATTAAGTATGGTAATTTATCTATTCTTTTATAATTTCATTAGTTAAAAGTCAATGTTCTAGTTATGTCAGATCACCTCATTCATTTATCAAAATTATTATGGCAGTTCCTAATTTATATTGATATATAGTGTCTATCTATCTTATGTATGTATATATGTTATACCTATTTGATAATCTCTAATGGTTCATGACATTTATTTTAATATGCTTCAGAGACCAAGTATGAAATTATCCAACAATTTCAAGTCAAGAAACGACTATTTGGAGTAGTGACATATAGAGCTTCAAATCTTATCTTCTCAAGGCTTCCTTTTAATGTCATCATGAGATATTCATATCTTATTCCTTCTTGTGTTTTTGTCATACTATTATCCCTAAACTATTGTTAGAGTTATGTTTTGATGCAATAAACATGTAGTTCTATATGATGTTTACTTGTAATTTATTTTTCTAAGTACGAAATTTTGTATATACTCTTAATTTTTAATGAAAATTCCCCTTATTGTCATATTTTTATAAATTCGTGTATGTATATAGATACAAAATATGTAGGTTCATATGCAAAAAAATTAATAATAAAACTAATAATAATAATATATGAATTGCCGTTGCATTAGGTGGTAATTAAATATGGGACATATACCATTGTATTAGTTTCAGCCGTTGCATTAGGTGTCAATTTTATCATAATTATTAGTCAGTAATCTATTGCCACGGCTAATTAATGCCGTTGTATCATGTATTGAGCTAACGCAATGGATCATAGATGTCGTGGCATTAGGTGTCATATACCGTTGTAGTAGACCTACTGCAACGCCAGCAGATGCCACAGTACATGGCCGTTGCATTAGGTCTAATGCCACGGATTTTGACACCTAATGCAACGGATTTGGGGGTTGCAATAGGTCAAAAATGTATATATATCAATCAACTTTTTTACAATTTGCAGATGTTATGCATGAGTGTGTTGTGACTTCAGTTGTTGATTAAATGGTTTGTTTATAGGTTTAGCAAAAGTTTAAAAACTTGTTAAAATTTAGAGATTTTGCGTTTAGGAGTTCTGTAACAAAATATTATAGCAAATGAATTATATATAGAATTAAGTATGATATACCTAAAATCATATGGTAGAAAATTAGTAAAGTCATTATAATTGTATCACAATTTCCCCTTTTTTTTTTTACAGAAAACACAATCTACATATTTATAAGCTATTTACGATTTACAACATGTCTAATTGTTTAAATATAAGCTAGAAAGCACATTATTATCAAGTTTGATCTTATTAGATTAAAATTGTTATAAATTTTCAATATATCAACTTTGTATAATTTAAATTAATGCACAATTATATATAAAAAAAATAAAAAATTTAATGGTCAAAATAGTGAATTGGAAATCGTTTAAATGTAACACTTAACAAAGTGGCTGGAGGTAGTACTCCGTATTATATTTTTTTTAAAATAAGATATATAATTTATACACATTAGTATATTTGAGTGATAATCTACATTTAATATATAATCAAATATATCTTTTACTAATCCGTAATATAAACTTGACTTAAATATAAAATATATGGATGGAGGAGGCTAGGGTGAGATCCATGAAGAAACTTGAAAAGGTCATATCCCACAAGTATAGTCTCAAGTTGAATTTTTCAGGATAAATAATTGGTTGAATTGAGTTTGATAATAATTAGTGAGGTTGACAATAGAGCACAATTAGCTTCAACATCATTAGGAATGGTGTTATAATTAGTAGCCATATGAATAATGTGGGGAGAAAAAAAATAGGTTGAAGGTTTAACCTACTCTAATATAGTTGTACGTGTGCTAATAAGGAAACCTAAAATATAATGTACGGAGTACAAAAAAAAACAAAATATACTCTCCTTGAATTAAGCAATTTAAAGTCAAATGATATGGACTAAATATATGCTGAAAATCCGTGAATAATATTTATTAAAAAACAATATTAATAAAGTCAAGATGTTATCTCGGAGTATCTTTAATAATAGGATCTTTGACAATTATACATTTTACCAAAAAAAATTAAAAAATAAAACCCTAAAACAGGGACATGTGGCAACCATGGAGCTAGTTTACCTTGTTTTAGTATACTATTCGAGTGCGCCGCGCGCGTTGCGCGCGCACCGATTTGTAAATCTTATTAAGAAAATTAGTAGCAAGCGTATACGTAAGTTAATTAGCTTAGTTTTTGTAAACTTGTACATGATATATGCATGTATACATTATAAATTATTGCATTATTGTGTAAAGTATTATTACTTATTGATATCATACATAAATGACAGGTCTTAAAAAAAAAAGATTTTATCATATTTAATGTAGAACATTTGTGATGAAAGAGGTATCATCAATTTACTGCATAATCTCTTTTCTCAACCCCTCAAGTAATCCCTCACCGAGTAACTCGAGTAACACCTGACTAAAGAATTCAAATAACCCTAACAAAATAACTCAGGTAACCCTGCCACAATCCATTTCATAATAATTGCAACACTACTTTCTTTGGTAAGAGTCCACGACTATTTTATTATTTCTCTCTGACCAACCCAATTTACACTTTTTTATTATTATTTCTCTCTCCTACAAACAAATAAATATATACTACTAACTATAATATACATTATAAAATCACAAATTTTTGTATGCAACTTGTTGTATCGTGCAACAAGGTTTACTTGAGTTTCTCTGTATAGGATTACTCGAGTTGTCGGGGTTACTCGAGTTGTTGGGCTTACTCAAGTAACCCCTGACTGAGTAACCCCTCAAGTAATTCATGACTGAACCCCTCGAGTAACCTCTAACTGAGTAACCAAATGTCATTGATTATGATAATATATCAAATGACTCACATTTTTATTAGCACCGTTTTGTTAATATAATTTAGTAAACCATTAATGAATCGTTAAAATAATCAATTTGGTTTAGTTTTTGTAATTTTGTGCATGAATTCGTAGTTGTATGAAATATAAATTTTTCATATCAAAATATATTTATGTTAGAAATTAATTATATCACAAACAATTGATAAGTATTGGCACTTATATTGATATGGAATATAGAAAATTAGAAAAGTTAATATCATTGCTCGGATTGAATTACATGTTTGAGCTTTGTCTTAATTGTAATAATTATTTTTCGGTCGTGAGTTACTCGAGTTGCTGGAGTTACTCAAGTTACTTGGTCAGGGGCTACTTGAGTTAATCCTTATCGAGTAACTCCTCAAGTAACCACTAACTGAGTAACCCCTCGAGTAATCCATGATCAAACCCCTCGAGTAACCCCTAACCGAGTAACCCATCCCCCTCAAGTAACCCTTAATTGAATAATCCCTTAAGTAACCCCGGACTAAACCCTCAAGTAACCCCTGACCGAGTAGCTTGAGTAACCCTTAAATGAGTAACTCGAGTAACCCTTACCGACTAACCCCTCAAGTAACCTTTGACCAAGTGAACCCCTTGAGTAAACCCTGTCCGAACCCCTTAAGTAACCCTTGACCGAGTGAACCCCTCGAGTAACCATTGTCCTAACCCCTCAAATAACCCCTGACCAAGTAACTTGCGTAACCCCTAACTAAATAACTCGGGTAACTTCTAACAAAATAACTCAGGTAACCCCTGCAAGGCTGCCACAGTTTGTTGCATAATAATTGCAACACTACTTTCTTTGGTAAGAGTACATGACTATTTTATTATTTCTCTTTGAACAACCCCATTTATAATTTTTTTTATTGCTATTGCTATTATTGTTATTTGCTATTTGCTATTTGCTATTTTCTATTTGCAATTTGCTATTTCTATTGCTATTTGTTATTTGCTATTTGTATTGCTATTGCTATTTGCTATTTGCTATTTGATATTTTCTATTGTTATTGCTATTGCTATTGCTATTTGCTATTGCTATTGCTATTGCTATTTGCTATTTGCTATTGCTATTGCTATTTGTATTGCTATTGCTATTGCTATTTGCTATTGCTATTTGCTATTTGCTATTGCTATTGCTATTTGTATTGCTATTGCTATTGCTATTTGCTATTTGCTATTGCTATTTGCTATTTGCTATATGCTATTGCTATTGCTATTGCTATTGCTATTTGCTATTTGCTATTTGCTATTTGCTATTTGCTATTTGCTATTGCTATTTGCTATTTGTTGTTGCTGTTGCTATTGCTATTGCTATTTGCTATTTATTATTGCTACCGCTATTGTTCAATTGCTATTGCTATTGCTATTGCTATTGGTTATTGGCTATCGGCTATCAGCTATTGCTATTTGCTATTTGCTGTTGCTGTTGCTCTTGCTCTTGCTCTTTCTCTTGCTATTTGCTATTTCTATTTGCTATTTGCTATTTTCTATTGTTATTTGCTATTGCTATTGGCTATTGCTATTGGCTATTGGATTTGCTATTTGCTATTTGCTATTGCTATTGCTATTGCTATTTGCTATTTGCTATTTGCTATTTGCTATTTGCTATTTGCTAATTTCTAATTGCTAATTGCTAATTGCTATTGCTATTATTGCTATTATTGCTATTGCTATTATTGCTATTGCTATTGCTATTGCTATTGATATTTCTATTGCTATTGCTATTTGCTATTTGCTATTTGCTATTGCTATTGCCATTGACATTGCCATTGTTATTTGCCATTTGCCATTTGCTATTGCTATTGCTTGCTATTTGCTATTTTCTATTTGCTATTTGATCTTTGCTATTGCTATTGCTAACCCTTGAATGAGTAACCCTTCGAGTAATCCATGATTGAACCCCTCGAGTAATCCCTCCCCCTCATGTAACCCCTGATCGAGTAACCCCTCAAGTGAACCCTTAAATAACCCCTAACCAAGTAACCACTGACCGAGTAACCCTTGACTGAGTAACTCAAGTAATCCATGACACAGTAACTTCTCTAAGTAAACCTTGGCCTTCTCCTTTGTTCTTTATTATTATATCATATATACTTTCTCTGTCCTTTTCTCTCAGTCCTATTCCCTATTTATCATTCTCTTTATTTCTCTTCAACCCCCTTGCATTTCTACAGTCCCTATATTTTTTTTTTAGCCTCTCTCTATCTCATCCTCCTTCCTTCATAACCCAGGCCATATTTCTATCCCTCCCTTATTTTCTAACTTTTTTTTCTCCCGGCCTTTATCCCTTCTTCTAGCCTACCTCTTACCTCTTTTAAACTGGTATCTCTATCTTTCAACTTGCCCTATCTTTTAGGCCCTCTTTGTCTCTCACTTCAAACTCTTCGCTTTCCTAGTTCCCTTTCTTTCTCTCAATGATTCTCTATATTTTGGCCCTTGTTTCTCTACCTCCTTATCCCTTTCTCTTATCTCCCTCTCCTCCTCTATCATAAGTAATCCCTGACCGACTAATCTCAGATTGAGTAATTCTTCAAGTAACCTCTAAATTAACCCTCAAGTAACTTGACCAAGTAACCCCTGACCGAACTCCTTAAATAACCCCTTATCATGTAACTCGAGTAACCCTTGATCGAGTAACCCAAACCCTTGACAAAGTAATTCGAGTAACCCCTGATCGAGTAAGACCTCAAGTAACCCTTAACCGAGTGAACCTCTCGAGTAACCCTTATCTAAACCCCACAAGTAACCCCTGACCGAGTAACTCGAGTAACCCCTGACTGCATAACTCGGATAACCCCCAACAAAATAACTCGGGTAACCCCTGCCACACGATGTGGCTTACAGCACCAAAATGTTGTTTGATAATCTATGTTGTGACAAAATCGAGTTCAAATAAGTGAGAAAAGATAAAACAATAATCGAAAATTATAGGTCGCACTTACTCCCTCTCTCCCTCGAGCCTTCTCCTTCGTTTATTTTATTATTATATCACATACTCTTTCTCTATCCTTTTCTCTTAGTTCTATTCCCTATTTATCACTCTATTTATTTCTCTTCCAACCCCCTTGCATTTATCCTGTCCCTATATCTTTTTTTAAACCTCTTTCTATCTCATCCTATTTCTTTCATAACCCATATTTCTATCTCTCCCATTTTTCTAAATTATTTTTCTCTAGGCCTTTATCCCTTTTTCTAGGCCGTTTTCTAAATTATTTCTATCTCTCCCATTTTTCTAAATTATTTTTCTTTTTTGAACTGGAATCTCTATCTTTCGGTCTGCCCTATCTCTTATCCCCTCTTTGTCTTTCTCTTCAAACCCTTCACTTTCCTACTTCCCTTTCTCTCTCTCTCGATGATTTTTTCGATTTTGGCCCTTGTTTCTCTACCTCCCTTTCCCTTTCTCTCCATCTCCCCTTCCTCTCCTCCTCTATCTCAAGTAATCTCTGACCAACTAACCTTAGACTGAGTAATTCTTCAAGTAGCCCCTGAAAGAACCCTCAAGTAACCGCTGACTGAGTAACCCTTGACGAACTCTTTAAGTAACCCTTATCGAATTACTCAAATAACCCCTGACCGAACTCTTATAATAACCCCTTACCTAGTAACTCAAGTAACCCCTGACCGAGTAACTCGAGTAACCCATGACCGAGAAACTCCTCGAGTAACCCTTGGCCGAGTAATTCGAGTAAACCCCTGATCGAGTAATCCCTCAAAAAACCATTAACTGAGTGAACCTCTCAAGTAACCCCTATCTGAACCCTACAACTAAATCTTGACCGAGTAACCCCTGACTGCATAACTCGGATAAACCCTAACAAAATAACTCGGGTAACCTCGACCACACGGTGTGGCTTGCTGCACCGAAAAGTGGTTGTGTGATAATATATGTTGTGACAAAATTGAGTTCAAATAAGTGAAAAAAGATAAAAACAATAATCGAAAATAAGCTGCTCACTCCTAAAAACAAATGAAGTATACAATCTACGTGTGACCTTGTAAGTGGGGTTTTACGGATGTTGCTATAAAAAATCTGTTGTTTTTGTTTTTCATAGATTGTTTTGCATTTGAGTTAAAACTCACATGTCATGCTTTCACCCTAAAATTAAATAAAATTGGAAATCAAATGATAAATTTATATTGATCACATGCTTTATATTCAGATTATGCCCATTAGTAGAGATATACAACTTTGGTATGTGCAATATTAAATCAAATTCAATACTATGCTTTGTATATATATTATGCCAAATAATAAAGTAGCAAAGTAAAAGCAAGGATCTACAGTCATGGCAGAATTAAACTAACGATTTAAAGTACGCATGGTTCTCACACAATACATATATACAATACAAACCCCTCACTCATTAAAGAAGCCAATTGTGGATTTTAAAATAAAACAAAAAAAAAATACTTAATTAAGTAAGATTGCTCCACAAAATCATACAATGATGCATGATCTTAATTAAGAATCCAGCATATATATAATTAATTAAATATGAATAAAGTAGTCCTTAAGTATCTATTTAAGTTGAATAGAAGTATCATAAGCAGCACCAGCTCGCCAATAAGTAGGGATGACTTTAGGAACCAAAACCCATCTAGCTCTCTTACTTACACTTCCATCTAAGAAGAACCTCACTGTTAGAGGACCCCTTGGTGGATTTGCTATGTCCCAAACTGCTCCGTACGCTCTCCGGCATCTCTTCCATTCTAGGGCTTCTTCCTGTACATTTTTTAAAGACATCACCACCAAATATACATGAACGTAGATAGAGCTTTAGCAATTGATTTCTCATTATAAGTGTCAAAACAATAACGCGAAAGCCTATTTATGCAACCGAATTTCATCGTAATAAAACGGTGTGTACTTGCTAGTGATTTATTATATAATTGAATGGTGGTGAATTGCATTTGTATTTGTTTAATTATCACAGGTGACTTAATATTAATACATTAATTATTCATTGAACTACTATATACCATTTGTTAATGTTAATCCTCTTATAAATTATGATGATTGTAGACACCCATTTGTGTCTCCCCAAAACCAAACCCGGTGATGAGTGCCTTTCACGTCGAATAATAGTCGAATGAAACGAAAGTGTGGAAAGGTCTAGTGTTGCGGAAAGTTTTATTTCTTTTCTCTTCTCCCTGATTTTGAAAACTTTATTTTAAGAAAACAGTCAATCCAGTTTGGTTGGTCCATGATATGGGTCCAATAGTGGTGTAGTTGGATGGGGCTTGCAAAGACCTTTCCAACGATATATTATAAGCCCAATTCCGATGAATATTGAGGAAATTATGGCCAATTTACTAAACTGGGTCCGGTTTGAACTTTATGTACGGCCCAATGATCTAGGGGAGGGCCTAATATGATTTATCATTCCTAATGCAATTAGGAATGGTTTTAGTCTTCTAGAACATTCTAGAAGGTTCTTTTCATTCCTGATTCGATTAGGACTTTTCATAGTTTTAATTAAGATCAAATAGCATTTTCGATGGAATTATATTATTTTATCTTCCAGTACGGTAAATTTATCAGATTTTCAAAAACGCGTTGAAAATCAGTTTGGCGTCCAACCCCAGGCCTTGGCGCCTGGAACCAGGCTTGGCGCCAGACGCTAGCCATTGGCGCCTGGCGCTAGCCACTGGTGCTGGCGCCAACTAGCCAGGGCTGGCGCCAATGCTGTTTTGTGATCTTCATACTCTGTTTTGTTAAATTATCTTTTTTGGATGATTTTCTCTATAAATATCGTATCAAAAACTCCGTTTTCATTCATCAAGAAGCATCAATCATTCATCAATTCTTTTAATTCATTCTCTTCATCTCCATTCAAATCATTCATTCATTCATCAATTTTCAATAATATTAATTCATTGGCATTCTTTTCTTTTCTTCAATCCTTTCTTGCTTTTTCATACAAAATTCCGCATTCACAAGATCTAGATACACCTAGCCATATTCGAAGTTGTCTTCGCCCTAGGCGTGAAAGGTTTAATTTTTGAGGGTTTGGTCCCAAATCTCTCTTTCAATTATTTAATTTAATTGCTGTTTATTATTTTCCTTGAAGTTACTAACGTGTGTATTTTGTTATTAGAAAGAGGTACGAGGCATCAAAGTAAGTACTTTATTGATTAATTGATATTATGATGTAGAAATCATATTTACATTGTTATTATGATTCCTAGTATCATGTTTAGGTTAATTTTAATGTTAAATATGATTGTTAGGATGCTTCCTATGCTCTTCCTAATATTTATGATTGCTAGTATCATGTTAGGGTTAAAGATTTGATTTTTATCGCTTACTGACATGATAGGGTTTGTTATTAATCTTGTTAGTATCACGCCTAGGATCTTGCTAGGCTTTAACATGATTATGATTATCATTGATTATGATTGATATTATTATGTTATTTATTATGTTGGTTGATATGTATTATATTTTTATATTGTTATTGCTTGATCACCTTCATTGTCTGTTTAAAGGAAATTTGTACTTGCAACCACGCTTAATAAGATAATTAATAATCTTGTTAGGTTAATTGTGATTATAATTCAAGTGATCGCCAATAATAGTTTTTTTGTGCATTAAATTCAACCAACATAGATTAAACAGGTTTAGGGTTAATCCTATTGATTGCATGTTAATCAGAAAGCGCACATGAATACGAGCAGAATAAAGTAGAGGCCTATTATTAGGGCAGGTTCAATCTCTTTTAGGTTGGATTTGTACCTTCATCCCCGAACCCTTATTTGGTTCATGACCTTATGGAGTTGACGATCTCTTGGATCGTTAAGGGGTGTAACCTTCACCTCATGAATGGTTTACAAGTTCCTTAAAAACTTGTTGGCGACTCTTTTGCTCTATCTTCTTCCCTTTTGGACGCCACCGTACTTTAGTGTATGATCACAGTGGGGTTCGAGCTAATGGGATTTAAGGCTTGAAGTTCTTCCCTACAATGATTAATTTCAACATTGAATTTATTACTTGCAATTTTGGAGAGAAATTAAAGGTTTTTTTTAAAAAGTTAAATTTCTATCTGTTTTCTTCTCCACTCAATCAATATAATAATCAAATTCAATTAAATTGTTTTCCTATTGGACATACATTATAATTATTTCTAGGGTTTAAAGATTAAGCTTGAACCATGCATCAAGTTAAAGAGAAAAATTACAAAAATATTTATTTCTTTATCTTACAAAAATAAAATATAAATAAAAGGTTATTTTTGTATATACCTCAAACATTTCAACAGCAGTGTTATTGGCCACTAATTTTCAAGGAACAGAGTCATCTAAGATTTTACTGCTAAATAACTTTATGATGGAACAATCATTTTCACTTCAGATTTATTTTAGTGTTGGGGAGTGATTGATAAGAGCTTTCCTCAGTTTGAAGGAGAAATAAAGATAAAGCTTCATCAATATCTAAAATGCATCAGGAGTATAAAAACTTAAAAGGGAGTAAGGGAGGGAAATAGACTATGTTGGATGGGTAATGCTCCGAGTGCTATGTATTATATAGCCCCACGAAACTATACAAGTAAAACATAATTGTGATGAGTCTTATCTATATAAGTAGTCAACTATCCTAACTGCTTGGCAATGGTCTTCAACAATATGTAAAAAGCGTGTACTTGGGTATAATACTCACTATACACTCTTGACCATCATCTCAATTGCACAAAGCCACAAAGCATTAAAGCAAGACGAACCTCTTTAGGTTCAAGAGAAAGCTTTCTAACCTACTCAGTCTAATTCAATTAACACTTGATCTATGGGAATGCGGAACCTAGATAAAGTAAAGCATCGTGCCAAAATAATGATATCCAGAGATTTCGCCAGATAAGGACCATTTGTGGGGAATGCATTCAGGCTATTTATATCCTTACAAAAATATGAACAGATCAGAACCACCGGGCAACACCCAGTCAAATAATTTTGGTCATTTATTGAGGAATTGGCGAAATTAGAATAGCACAGTCAAATATTAGCAAAATTACTACAAACCATTTCTAATCCCGTCAAAATAAACCAAAAATACATAACTATTTTCATCAACACCATCATATGCATCATATTTCAACAATCAAGCAATTTCAGCAATTAAACAATATCCCATATAATTTCCCAGCAACATAATCATTTTCATCAACACCATCATATACTCAAAAATAGAACAATAATTCATAGCGCGAGTTGCAAGATTACCTTAGAGAGACCAGAAGAGCATGGCATACAACAGCAAATGGGCCTAAAACTATCCCCCCCCCCCCCCCACCTGTAACATGGAGCATATGAGTCTCAAAAAGAGAGTACCTGATCATAGTCTATGTAACCTGTGCTCTCATCCAATCTATATGGCATGGTCTCAAAGAATATGGACACAGCTAATATCTTCTTGGTATCACTCTGCAAGTAAAAAGAAAAGTGATTTAGCCTGCATTTCAACATGAGCATAAGAAAACTCGTAAGCCAGTCCTACAAACTGAAACTTGATACTCTAATAGGCAATTTTAATAACGTGTGATCTAGAAACTTAAATATCACTTACTAAGGAAGCTGGAAAAAAGTGAAAGAATGTAACTTAGTTTAAGTAATGCAAGTAATGAGTTCTTCCGGTAAGCTAGATTTAAAAGGTGAGATTAAGCTAGATGATGTTGGTAAAACCACCAGCTACAGGATTTAAGAGGAAATCAGTTACCTACTCCAATATTAAAGAGCAGATGCAGCCCAACTACGAGAACAGGTACCCGAAAAGGAGTGTTTGGACTCCTCCGAGCTGGAAAATCAGTAAACTATTCCATACTTTTCTCAATCTCCCTTTCTTTCGCCCCGAAATCCGACAAAGCAGAGAAAGGAATCTCCTCATTAGCTATAACAAGAAGAAACACTGTATTGAAGCTTGAATTCTGGAATTTGAAACCCTAACCATTGACATTGACGACGACATTAGAATGGGCACATGTATTATAAATGACAAAAGGTGGTAATTACTACAAATTACCAAATATTATTCCAAAAAGGCTTACAAAATTAGCAAACAAGACTCTAAAATTATCCAAAAAGCTTGAAAAAAATCTAAAGTAGAACCCATAAGGAATATAAGTGACCTGAAATGTAAAGGGAATTATAGTAAGAGAGTCACAACCTTAGAAAAATTCGTATCCAAAACAAAATAAATCTTTCATAGTTAACTCCAGATCAAAATCCATCCAAAATTAGTACTTCATCATCACTACTTCAATTCAATTATCAATTACAATTATTGAAATTGAAGGTAAAACTTGTACACAAACTTAACAAATAAAAATAAAAAACTAAAATTAAAATCTTACAGAGTCCCAGTCGATTTGGGTGAGGTCGATAGTGATTAGTGAGGCATGGTCCCTTATATTTGCTTCTGACCTACAACCAAAAATCATAAAAAAGTCTTTTACCAAAAAATAAGAGATACAATCAATAGTTGAAATCAGGAGAGATAAAGAGAAAACATCAAAAAGCAATAGAAAAGAACAAAGAACAATACATCAACATCTTGTTCATCCACAAGAAAGTGTTATTCATCAACCAGATATTAAAACCCTCTTGCTGCCATGAGAGAAGTCTTGTCATCTTGCTGCAAATTAATGTTCTTAAAATTCATGCTCCAATCATTTTCATGAATATAAATGCACTAAAAATATTGGATTTAAAAACTAACATTAGAAATTCAAAAAAAAAGGGGGGTGGGGGGGGGGGGGTAAAGAAACCTTTTTTGTTGAACAGATGGTTGACGGTGGCCAGAAAGCAAACAAATTATTCTCCGGCTTGCCAAAAGAGCTTATTAGAAGCTGGACCAATGGAGGATTCAGAGTGCGTGCTTCAAGCCTTCAATGGAGTAGAGAAAGAATTAAAAGGCAATTTAAGAGCACCATTCACGATAATAATGAGTACTTTAGTTAGCTCACAACTTTATAAAAACTATAGATTATATTACCATTTCCTAGGAAACATATGAATATTACAAACAATGATCCCAACTTTAACAAAAAATAAAAATATAGTTAACTTTTACCTGCTTCCCACTTGAAGTTTTGATTTCAAGTTCTTCACAATTGATTTTTATCACTTCTCCATCAACCCAACAAATATCTGGGTCTTCTACCCAAACATGAGACCCCACAATAATATTCACCTTAGAACCCTGCAACCAAACATCAATGGCAACAATCAACAATCGTATTCTATATAATTAATTCTTATTAATTTATTAATAGATCAATTCATTATAATTCTAAGCTAGTTTATAACCAATATCATCCAACAATTCAGCTTTATAAACAATATTAACAACACAAAAATTTATAAATTAAAGGAAATTTTGATTTTTACCACCTTCAAATAACGACTTTATTGAATTTACCACCTCCAAAAAAAAAAAGATTTACTTTACCACCTCATAAAAAAAATAAAATTCAGTTTTACCAACTAATCAGGACTCCGGTGACGGAAAACGGTTGTGGGGCCCTTTCTCACCTCCCTTTCTCACGATTTCTCTCTCTCCTCCCTTTCTCACCTTCCCTATTCAATTTATCACCTTCCTCCTCTTCAATTTCTTCTCGCCTCTTCGATATCTTCTCTCTCCTCTGTAATATCTTCTCTCTCCATTGATTTTTCATCTTTCTCTCTGTAAAAAGTCTTGCCATTGGAACTCCACATTGGCATTTTTTCTTCTTTGAAGATGATATGCTAAAAGAAGACATTCCCCTCTGAAATTCATTAACAAAAGCATTGAAATTAATTGTATATGAACACAATTATCATAATCTAACCCTAATTTTACTGCCCAATTGAAATATCAAAAACCACCAAATTAATTTACACTTACATGAACCCTAATTATTTATAATGAAATTGGGGTTGAATTAATAACACAAAACGTGCAATTTCAATTATACTCAGCAATTGCAACATAATCACGCAAACAATTGCAAAAAATTACAACAAAATTCATGAAATTTGCTTACCTTTTTGTTGTTTGTCGTCGAACAGTTCAATTGATTCAGGGCCTAGTACAATCTTCAATAATTTGATAATTTGAGGATGTGGCCGGGATTGTTAAGGATCACCCAAATTAAGGATTTGTGAAGAAAATCGCAAAAAAAAATAACTTCAACACGAATTTGATGTAGAAATGAAGAAGTTAGGTTTAGATAGAAGGGAAATCGAGAGAATTTGGGGATAATTTCAAAAACTAGTCGTTATGGTGGGCCCCACAGGCGTTTTACGTCACCGGAATTAGGAATAGGTGGTAAAACTGATGTTTAATTTTTTTATGAGGTGATAAAGTATATCTTTTTTTTTGAGGTGGTAAATTCAATAAAGTCGTTATTTGAAGGTGGTAAAAGTCAAAATTTCTAAATTAAAATAAATTACCATTTTTAATAATTTTTTCTGAATTCCACTAGTTAATTCTAAAATGTCTCTCACAAATCCCTAATTAATCCCATTTCACACACATAATTTTAAAATCATCAAGAACCAATATCTCATTTTCCATTGATGAAAAAAATTGGAAGCCAAACCCTAAGAAATCAATCAATGGAAATAATAATAAAATTGAATTGGAGACAAAAAACAGATCGGACCAAAATGCAGGAAATCAAAGTAAAATAACAAAAAGAATTTAGATCAGCAATCAAGCAATTTCAGCAATTAAACAATATCCCATAGAATTTTCCAGCAACATAACTATGTTCATCAACACCATCATATACTCAAAAACAGAACAATAATTCATAGCAAGAATTGTAAGATTACCTTAGAGAGATACCATAGCAAGAACCTATAGCTTATTTTTCAATTTGATACTACATTATTTGAATCTAATTACCCAACTAACTTCAATTTTTAAGCTACTCTAAATGGAAATCCAACAATACCCATTCATAAACACGATTTCAATCTAATTGCATAAATAAATTAACAAAACCCAAAATTCAAATTCACCAAACTAAACATGTGAAATGGATTAAACATAAACAAGAAAGATACCGGAAACTAAAGGTCTTGGAGGAGCGTGAAACTCGCTTGATGCTTCTGTTTAAAAGGTCCTAACGAGCAGAAAATGTCACTTAACTTATCACTTCAGTTTCAATTCAAGTTCTCCGTCTTCCCTGTTAATCTGTTCATATACAAAGTTAAAATAATCGGAAAAACAGTCAATAAAACAGCAAAAATATCAAATTTCAGCAAATAAACAAAAACTCCATCATAAATCAGTTTAAAAAATAGAGGGATACCATTAGGACCAAGATAAGAGTGAGTAATGTCGCAAAGCTTTTCACAAGCTTCAATAGTTCAATATTCTTTCAGAAAGCTTATTCGACCTAGAGAGATGACATTTGAGATTAATTAAACATTATAAAAATTGATTAAAATTTATAAAATGATTAAACTCGTCTTTTGCTTGGTCAAATTCTCACTCTACTCGCTCCCTCTCACCACCAATTTAATAAACAGATTAAACACCCACCTACTTCTTTCTCTTCACTCCCCATTGATAAATCATAATAACCAATTGAGAGAAATCATCAAAGAACAATAACAAGATTATATTAACAATAATTAAGCAGAACAAAATTTGATTAAATTAGATCAAGTTAAAGAAAATCATAGAGAAGAACTGGTTCCAGAATCTTCAACTTGATTAAAATTAGATGATGATTTGGGCCTTTGAAGTGTAATCTTCTCCAAGCAGCAGTTCAACAAGAACACAACCAGCAGACCAAATGTCAATTGCTGATGTGTACTCAGTTGCTCCAAATATCAGTTCTGGTGCACGATAGTATGTAGAGCATATATAAGATATATTTGGCTCTCCTTTCACCTGCCATTAGAATTAAAAATATGCTCTTAGCCAACAAAGAGAAGATAGTATCAACATCACTGAAGCGAACACAAAAAGTTAGAACAGGAACAAGAGGACGAACCAAGACTTTAGCACTTCCAAAGTTGCAAATCTTTAATTGGTGTATATGTGGGTTGACCTGAATAAATAAAAGATGATATGAGAATAACAATAGAAAAATAAAAGATGATATGAGAATAACAAAAGGAAAAATTGATTTTGTACAACAAGTTAATTCTAAAAATACTCAAATGGGAAAAACTTTAAAAGACCATTCCAATAGGTTTTGAAGCTTAATGTCTCTATGGCATACTCCAATAGTCCCATTAATGTAAGCCAATGCTCGACAGATCTGGTGTCAGTAAAAGCTATAGTTAGAAACACTTTAAGTACCTAATATGCTAATATACTTTAAAATCAAACTCCAGACTATAGATACCTGGTATGTGTACAGCTTAGCTTTACATATATCAATGGAATTCTCTAATTGATCTTGTTGTAGTGTCTGATGACACGGTGAACAGTTTCAGGGACAAACTCAAGCACCAGATTAAAATAGAGCTCATCCTTCCCAGTTGTGGAAAAGAAACAATGCTTCAAAGAGGTAACATTTGGATGACCCAAAAGGCACATTGTTTGCAACTCGCTGTATCTCATCCTGAAGGACTTTCTTTATAGCCACAATTTCACCCGATTCCAAGCACCTTGCCTAGACATCCCAACATTAGTAAATTAGTAATGTTATACAGGGTGGCTTCAAGTCTAAAATAATGTTGTTTATTTGCTTTTGCAAACAAAAGATGAAAGCTTTTAATCAGTTATTGCCAAGTTTACCCGAAACACTACTCCAAAGGATCCTTGTCCGATAATACGTTCAGCCATGTAACTCACTGTCTGAAAACACAAGGGCATAATTTAAATAAAAGCACATATTTTACAACAGAATTACTACAATGTATATAAGGCAATCCCATATTACCTGCTTATCTTGTCCATTTTTACCACCAATGGTGGTGACAATTACACTAGTAGAAAAATAGCATTAGGCACCCCCCATATGGCACCGATTCAGGCCAAACCGGTGCCAAAAATCGGCCCAAAATTGGGCGGGTTTTTAAAAAAAGGGAAAAAGCACCAGTTCAACTCAAACCGGTGCCAAAAATAAAAAAAGGCACCAGTTTGAACCGGTGCCAATTAAACCGGTGCTCTTTCAAAAAAAAAAACGCGGCCTTTTGCTTTATTTTCTTCTCCTTCCTCTCTTTCTCTTTCATTCCTTTCGACTTCCCCACTTCACAGTATTGTTTCATTGGAGACGATTTCTCAAGCAACCTCCCCCTTTTCCCTCCACCACAGCCGCCACCTTCACCGGCCACCAACATTGTCGAAAACTACCGCCGTTAATTCTCCCTTGCCCTTGTCTTTTCCCTGCCCTGCCACCCTCTGTCTTTCACCGGCCTCCACCTCCCTTCGTTCTCTGTTCGAAACACGTACAGCAGCACGCACCGCCTCCACCTCCACCAGCGCGCACCGCCTCCACCTCCGCGCTGCCTCCACTAGTGCGCACCACATACATTCACCGCCTGTCGACCTCCACCAGCGAGGGTCTTCCAACTAATTTAGGGTAAGTTTTTATTTTTTTGTTAAAAAATGGAACAATTATTTTGAAATATGTAATTCTATTATTTTCAATAGCATTTTGAACAATTATTGTTAGCACTGTCAAAACGGTTTGACAGGTCGGTTTCGGTTCGGTTTGAAATCGGTTCGGTTTGAAATCGGGTCGGTTTGAAATCGGTTTAAATGTCTAACGGGTCGGTTTCGGTTCGGTTTAAATAATTATCGGTTCGGTTCGGTTTCGGTTTATTCTTGAACGGTTTAAATTCGGTTCGGGTTCTAAACGGTTCGGTTTGTAAACGGTTCGGTGCAAACGGGTTGCGGTTTGTTAACGGTTCGGTGTAAACGGTCTTTAACCCGGTTTAAATTCGGTTCGGGTTGTAAACGGTCCGGGTAGTAAACGGTTCGGTGCAGACGGGTTGCGGTTTGTTAACGGTTTGGTGTAAACGGTTTTTAACCCGGTTTAAATTTGGTTCGGGTTGTAAATGGTCCGGGATGTAAACAGTCCGGGTTGTAAACGGTTCGATGCAGACGGGTTGCGGTTTGTTAACGGTTTGGTGTAAACGGTTTTTAACTCGGTTTAAATTCGGTTCGGGTTGTAAACGGTACGGGTTGTAAATAGTCCCGGTAGTAAACGGTTTGGTGCAAACGGGTTGCGGTTTATTAATGGTTCGGTGTAAATGGTGATTATACCGGTTCAAACAGTTTCAGGTTGGAAACGGTTCGGTTCTTTTTTGGTGTAGTTTTATTTTAGTTCGGTTATAACTGGTTCGGTTCGTTCACGGGTTTGGTTCTTCTATGATTTAACATTATTTAGATCGGTTTTATTTCAGATTTACTAAATTACGGTTCGAGTCTAGATCTGTTTTTGATTTCAAAAAATTTTGTACTACTTTCTAACTTTTTGCTAGTTAACAAGTTTTATATCAAGCCGAGACTTCATCACTTCATATTGAGGCATCATATTATATGCAAATTCTCATTATTTTTATAAATACATATCATGTTATGATTCAAGTTTAGCCATACTGATCTTACTAGTTTATTACGAAGTAGATTATAAAAGTTTAGTGCATTAATGTATTATTGTTTTACTATCAGATTATTATCTGCTTCTGATTTGATCATTTAGTTAACAGTGTCATAATCATGATTTGATGAGTTGTTGTAACATCGAAATTTGCAATTTGGTATTCGATTCTTAATTAGTCAACAAGACTGATAATTAAGGCTCGTTTATCATTATATATTTGCATAAAGTTATATATGAAGATATTACAAAGTAGTTTGATTTATACAATATAATGAAAGAACACATTAATGAAGAAGAAGGTAATATTGATTCTATATCCTTTACTGGTTTACCCCTAAGGCTTAAGTCACTAATTAGTAATTAGTAATTATTTAATTAGACTAACAAGTTAATAAGAAAGACTAACTTTTAACTTAAGTCTAACATATCAAATACTGAAATGGTATTAGTATATTACCGAGTAGGATAGTCTAGTACACTATTATTCTATTATGCAGCTATGCTAAATTGACAATTGCTTATATACTATATAGTCATATTACGATATTAGTCAATCACTCATGTAGTCATAACACATTTCTAATTAAGTAATTTGTATTTATGTACTAATCTACTAGTCAATTATATCATTTATAAGTTTACACGATTACAAGTGTATTGCTTATACGTACAAATCCGTAATATTACTAGCTCTCTAAGATATGACGTCATTATATTATTAAACGGTCTTCGATTTTTTTATTAATTGCAACGCTAGACATTTACACGCTAACTGATTCACATTTTATAATCTAAAGAACTTAATATTTTAATGTGTGTGTTAAAAAAATTTATAAAAAATTAAAAACTGATATTATGTAGGTGTATATCGTTTTATCGGGATTCGAGAAATGTAATTAGTTTTTTTTTTGAAACCATGTAATTAATCAATTGTATAAAAGTTTGTTTAATGTTGTTAAACAAAAATTAAAAATTTTGATTATTACAAAGTGGAAAATTGATTTTATTTTTTGGTTGACAATTTCTTCAAAATATGAATGGTGGGAAATTTCCCTCCAAAAACCAAAAGGAAAAACAAATTTTAGATTTAGAATTTAGATATTTTGAGTTAGAATTTCCCTCCCAAAATAAGAAAAAAACCCTAGCTTCCTTCTCTTCCTTGATTCTCAGCCGTCATATATAAGTTTTTTTTTTCCCATCTTTCTTTCTTCTTTCGTTCTTAGCTTCTTTCTTCCAGTTCTTTCTTCCAGTTCTTTCTTCCAATCTCCAAGCTCAGCACCTTCTTTCAATCTCTCTCTAGCTACTCTCAAGCTAAGTTGAAGGTAAATTTATACTTACTCAAGCTAATCTCGATTTTTTTTCCGATTGTTCATGATTTTGATTGTTTCCGATTTTTTTTCTGTTTTTTTTTTTTTTTTTTGTTTTTAGCAATTTATACGATTTTACAACCATACCATCCCAGCTATATGATTCTGTGATATACTATACTTCGTATTAATCAATTACATGTATTTTTTCACTAATTAATTTCTTATACATTATCTGTATTCTAAAATTGTTTAATAGCTGAGATTAGTGGTGTTACTGGAATCTTATTGGTAGTAATGTGTTAAAGATTTCCTCAAGTTTAATCTTCTGAAGAAGTATTTGTGAATAATACAAGATGTGAGATTGATCCTTGTTAGAATTTTATTTTTAACAATCTTCTGCTGCATTTAGACTTATAGATTAGGAAACTCTTAGCTAGAACGAAAGACCACTTACTGAAATGTAAAATTCAGATGTAAAATAGAAAGACCACCCTATTATTCAGATGGTCATTCATTTTAAACTCAGATGTGAATTCCACTGCTGGCTTTGGTTATGTGAGGTTAGCAGTCTTGTTTTGGGATCTTGGTTGGGGGTCATATATTTCTGAATTCTTGTTGTTTGAGTGGTTTACACCAATGTCTGTTCCTTTTATCTATTAAATTTCATCTTTTCCCCCTGCTTTCCTATCTCAGACGTTATCTTGACATTTTGTTTTTTGTTTTTTGTTTTTTGTTGTTGCTATTTTTGTAGTATATCAATCCAATTGTACAAAATTCACAGCATCCTCTGAAAGCAAACTTATTGTATGCAATTGAAAGGATTTTGAAGCTCTCAGTGCCAAATTTGTACGTTTGGCTGTGCATGTTCTATTGCCTTTTCCACCTCTGGTGAGTTGATTGCTACATCTCCATCAATCATATTGTACCTTTGACTAGTGTAATAGGAATGGGTCCATTGAAAAACATGATCAATCATCTTAAATTGAATAGAGGTAATTTATGTTAGCTTGAGCGGAAGTGGAGAATGGGTCGGACAAAGGTTAAATTCATGTTTAAATGTTTAATGGTGGGACTAATATAATACTAGTAATAAAGTTAAGTCCTTTTTTTACGAATTCATGTTCAATAATGAGGAGTCCTCAGAGGGTTGTTTCCTCTATAAAGATTAAAGAGTATGAACAAAGTTTGCTATTAGGCTATTAGCCATAGCAAACTAATTTGTACTCTGAGCAAAGAACAACTCTTGTAATATACGGAGTACTTTGTAATAATTAGATAAATAAATAGATACATTCATAAGATGATACGAAGGAACTCATAATAAGAGTGCAAAAAGTGGTAAGCCTCACAATATTTGAAGTTATATAAAGTGCAAATTCAACTACCAAACATAGTAGGTGTCCAAGATCTAACCAATGTAATCAAATTCTCTCTTTCTTTGTCAAAAAAAAAAAAAAATTCTCTCTTTCAAAATTAGCCAAGTCAGCTATCACGATCAAAGATGATTTATTATTTTAGTATCCATCCAAAGTTTTGAAAGATCAATAAATCTACAATCCATTTTTTATTTTTTTTTAATTGACTGAAACATATGAAAATTGACATATATCCAGGATTTTATCCCAAGTAAAGGCCATAAATTATTCCAGTAATGGAGCAAGAGTTTAATGGTTTTGATGAGGATTCTACTGTTCAGAATCAAGATTCTACTCAATATACCACTAGTGGCAGTAAGCGTGGACGAACATCAGATGTTTGGAGGTATTACACCTTTTTTGATAAGATGGTTGGTCTTGCTCCGATAAAATATGCTCGATGCAATGTTTGTGGTAATGAATATAAAACACCAGGTAATGCTGGTACTTCAACTTGTAAAGCTCATACTAAGACATGCATGAGTAAAAATCCACACCATCCGAAATAATGAAAGTGGTGTTGAGCTCCCGTTTAATCAAACTCGTCATTTACAATTGCTTGCTAGAGCTATAATTTTGCATTCCTATCCTTTAAGTATTGTGGAGCATCATGGCCTTAGGGAAGTTTTTACGAATTTGAATCCCAACGTGAATCA